TAGTAGTAGTCGTCGTCGTCGTGTTCGTAGTCGTAGTCGGAGTAGAAGTAGAAGTAGAAGTAGTAGTAGTAGTAGTAGTAGCAGTAGCAGTAGCAGTAGCAGTAGTAGTAGTAGTAGTAGTACTACTACTACTACCACTACTACTGTACTTTACTACTTGTCCTCGCAGTCGTCGTCGTAGTAAAGTAGAAGTAGCAGCACGTCGTAGTAGCCAGGAGTGAGTAGGAGTACTGGTTGTCGTCGTCGATATACTAAGGATTATTTCAGAGATTAGGACTTGAATGATTCTTCTTAAAAAAATAGTTACGAAGGATAGAATAGGTAGGATTATTTTTTTATCGAGATCTTTGATAGAACGATTTTTGAGAGCTCTTTGCGCTTCTTGAAATAAGCCTAGTTCTTGTGAATACTCTACTTCCACAGCAGACACATGCCTCGATTTTTCTATATAGAGATATTTGTTTGGATGTAGGTCTATCTTGTTTATTTGTATGGCTCTAATTATTTGTATCTTTGGGAGCGGGGATATATATCTAGAATATTTCTCTGAATAGATATATGATTATATATATTTGCTTGGGTATAGATGGGTGCCTCTCTCTGTCTTCGTGGTTGTAGGTATGTCTGTGTAATTATTATGTGTGTATGTGGGAAAATAGAAGTCTATATGTATAAATATTTGAATTAATTGGATAGGATTGTGTAGATATAGCTATATGATATAGGGTAGGAATGTTAAATTGCAATTTCTTTCTCTCTTGGTCATATCTTTCTTTTTGATCTTAATTTCTGTTTTTTTTTTATTTTCTTCTTATATAATTATGTTTATAAATGGATTGGTGGAATTATATCTGCCGTTCTTGAAATATTTATATGCATTATTTTTTCTTATTTCTTGTTGTGACCCCGAAAATAAAAAGTTTTCTTAAATCTTATAATAAATATTTGCTTGTATTCTTTTGGATATAAATAGAAAGATCGAGAAATTAAATTATTGATTTACAAAGGCCGCTTCTCACGATTTTTAGTTGGGGATTAAGATTGTTATTTGGAGTTTAGATATTTAAAGATTTTCATTTAAAAAAAATTCGAAAGAAAATTATTGGATTACTTTATGTCAAGACATAGGACTAATTTCTCTCCATATGATTACGATCGTATAATCTATCTAAAAATAGAATTTTATAATTATAAGATAAATAATAATATCCATAAATTTTGAGAAATTTGAATTATGATTATTTATAATCTTCTCATATCGTCATATTAATGGATGAACTTCTTCAATCCGAGATAATAATTTCGATTTAGATATTTTAAGATAAAATAACAGATTTTAATTATCTTTGCCTTATTAATTTCATAAAGATCATATTGAAAGAGTTCTATGTGTTGTTTGGTAGCGCCTCTTGGTTGGGTAGATTTATTTGGAATCAGGGAATCGTATTCGGGGATTCGTAAAAATCACGAGAATTTTAATATAAGGAGATAAAAATCTTAGAGATTTTCTGATATCTTTTCTCTTATATCTATATAGTGAGGGATCCGTATAAGCAAAATATATCTGGATCGATCATCTTCTTTGAGATATTTTTATCTCGATATATATATATTCTTTTTTTATGAATTGGGACGAAATGAATTTTAATTAAATCTTTTTTTAATTTATTTGATATGATAAAGATAATTAGATTCTATTTATGAGATAATTATAGAGAATATTTCTCATATATATTTCAAATATTCGTTTATAATTCGATTTTCTGAATGAAGATAATTTTTTTATTTGAATATTCTCATCGAATAACCATATTGGAACATCTATTCTAAATACCTATCTATTTCGAAAACTACAAATGAGTTTTCTAGATGATTTTTCGTTTATGGAAGATTAGTTCTAAAGATAGATTTATATTTCGATTTATATAAATATGAATATATTTATCTAGAATGTTCTCGTTAATTATAAACAAGAGAGATATATATATACTATAGGGCTGCCACACCCCCCCCTCCCCCCCGCCTCCTTGCAGGCTGGGGACTGAGCGAAGGGGCCCTTCCCCGCCTCCTTCTTGTGGATTGGTTGTTGAGGCGGGTTGGGCCCCCCCGCCCCAATTCAAGCTTTGATTGGCCTTATTCGTAATTATGCCTTCTGTCGCTGATATGGTTCATGATATTGTGCTCTAGACGACGACACGAATCGATAATCGGATCATCTTTGATATCATCATTATCGTCATTATCTTCATCATCAATATATCAAAGAATAATTAGTAACAACACTATCGCCATAAAACCTTCATAATTCAAGATTATGATTCATGTCTCTTGCGGGAAATTACTGCTGCGCAGATTCTGCCTTGTACACGGAATAGGGGTTGGGTCCATAGGGGCGGAGAGAGAAATTGCCGCTCCCCCAATCCGTGCCAAGCAGGCGCAGGTAGCACGGGCTTGAGAGAGTGGCGGGGGGAAGGGGGGCCTTAGGGAGGTTAGGTATTCCGGAACCCGAGAGCGTATGTATATATATATATATGATTCTTTATGATTATTTCATGAATCTATGATTATCTATGAATATATGAAATTTGATATTCATGAATTTTCAAGGTTTGATTCGATAGATGAATTTAATATTAGTATTTATTGGATTCATGGCCATGTATTTTTATACGAGGCGTACTGATTAATTGGATTCACTTCAGAAAAATATTCATATCTTGATATATTTTATTTTCTATTAGATTGCTTCGCGATATATGATTATGATATTGTGATGAAATTTTTCATATAGATAAGAAAAACTAATGAAATATAAATATATATATATACATATATCGAATCATCTATATATTATTAAATTATATAGATTTAGTTATGTAATTAAATTTTCATTATGTTAAAGAAGATTTTATATGATTCATAGGTTTTTCTTCCTTGACAAATTAATATTTGAAAGATTTA